TCATTGTGGGAAAATTCTACTACCAATCCTTCATCACCTTACACGAAATAGGGTGAATACATCTCATTACCAGTAGATCTGGCACACTTGAGCACTAACGCATCTTCCGGTCGGTGTACAATATTTCTCACCTCCTGTTTTGTTTTATTCACGAAATTGCGTCTTTATGTTTATGGTTAGCATGTTTTGAGGCAATCAAAAGATTTTGGATAGATGCTCTAGTCGGCATTGATCGCAGATTGTGAATCTTCCCATTTGCATGGCATAAAATCACATTAAAAGTTTAGTGCAGTTCAAGAGTCTTTGGACGACAAGTTTACCCAATTTCATCAATAGTCACACAACAGAATATGGTATGGGAACAGCTATGGTTTTCCATCAAATGCATATCTGCCCTAACTTGTGTGTATTCGACCACTCTATATTATTTGCATTTAAGTATTGTATCGAGACTACCAATAAATTAGTAATATGAGATGTATTCACCCTATTTCGTATAAGGTGATGAAGGACTGGTAGTAGAATTTTCCCACAATGATATGATTAGAGCTGATGTTTCCATTGAATTTCGCATAGCCTTGCTTTTCTAAAAGTTGTTCTCATCCAGGGTGGACTGCAGTTTCGACCTGGCAACGGTCTTATCAACACCCCCAGCGGGAGTCGAACCGTGACAGTGCAGAATGGGAGCTTGACATGTCAACCACTCGGCCACATTGCCACGAGTGCCCTAGGGTCACAGGGTAAAATGTGAATTTCAAGGAAGGCCATGCCTTTTGTCATATCATATTCTTTAGTGGGATTGTCGATGAAGCAAACGTATATTTGCTATAACAATCGACTATGTTACTTATTTTTCGCATTTAAGTATTGTTTCGAGACTATCAGTAAATCAGTAATATGAGATGTATTCACCCAATTTCGTTTAAGGTGATGAAGGACTGGTAGTAGAATTTTCCTAAAATGATATAAGTAGAGCGAAAAATAAGTAGCGCAGTCGATTGCTTCATCGACAATCCCACCAAAGTATATGATATGACAAAAGGCCTGGCCTTCCTTGAAATTCACATTTGCCCTGTGTCCCAAGGGCACTCGTGACAATGTGGCCGAGTGGTTTGCGTGTCAAACTACCATTCTGCATTGTCACGGTTCGACTCCCGCTGGGGGTGTTGATAAGACCGTTGCGAGGTCGAAACTGCAGTCCACTGGTGCCTGGATGAAGAAAACATTTTGGAAAGCAAGGCCATGCCAAATTCAATGGATACGTCAGCTCTACTCATATCATTGTGTGAAACTTCTTCTTCTACCAGTCCTTCATCACCTTAAACCAAATTGGGTGAATACATTTCATATCACTCTATATTACTTTAGCGAGTATAATGAGGCATTTTCACCTCCTGATAGTTTAATTTGCCCCGACCCCTATCTGTGTGCCAGGATCCCTGATCCAACTTAAGCATTTCATTATTCTTCTTTTATCCGAATATCTTTCGTGTCTTGAAAAAGCTGTTTCCCTCGGCTCTCGCTATCGTATCAGATTTACCCAGTCTTATTTCCCATTGCCTGCCTCCTGCGCTGGATAGCAAGTACACTGTGGCCTCACAGAGCAGAGCTCCGAGGGCCTGATTCCCAAGTTTGCTGATATCGCCCTAGCGCTATAGACTAAATTAACAATGTGCTTCTTTTTATCGCAGTTCGGAATGTGGATCGGGTTGCTAAATCTCACGGCCATGTAGTATCTTCACGTGCCGTCTCCATGCTTCAAGTTGTGTTTATTTAAAAGCGCATTCTTATGATAACCGCTTCATCTAGTCGAAGTGGCTTCGATCTATTGTCGAAAATGATAATTATCCATGATTATTGTGACTATTCATATCCCCATTCTCCCGTGCGCCAGACACCCAAAAGTTGACGGTTTCCCTCGAGTTGACTATACTTTCTTAGCGTCTTCTCTGTACCTCCAAATGTTCCTTATCTTCTTCCTCTGTGTGGGATAATTCAACCATCAGTCCTTCTTCACCTTTAACAAAATAAGGTGAACACAGCTCTCATATCATTAATTCTGCCTTCTAATCTCTATTTAACTAGATTTTCTTTAAAAAAGATGTCGACGGTCTCGCTAATCTTTTGCATCCTAGAACTTCTCCGTATGAGGAGGCCCTTCTTTCTGCTGCCTTTCATTTGATCCACTTTCCAGTCTGTATAACAAGTTCCGCCATTTCTGATCTCACCGTAGCCATGTTTTTGTGAAGCATTTGGAGTTTTTAATCCAAATGATGATTTTTCTTCCTGTTTCGACAATAGACTCTTGCTCACAGTCGCTGTGCGCTACGCAATAAACTCCAGAGAAATCCAGCTTGATCATTTTTTCATGCTGCGTCCCTTATGATCACCCGAATATTCCTTTTTTTAAACATTTATCATGGTTTCTGAATTAATTCGCAGGAAGGAGGGCATATCCACTTTTGTGCTTCTTTCTCCATCCTTATTTTTCTTTCATAATGCCTCTCCTGCCATCGGCTTATCACAAACCGTATATTTATTTGTATTTTCTCTCTCTGGTATCCGTTACCAATACACAATAGGGTCAATTTGTCCAATTCTTCATCTCAAAATTCCATGTCCGCTAATCGTAGGCTTCTGACAATTATGCTCCTCACTATTCCGATCATTAGTCTGTAGTCGTGATAAGACTGGAAATTGGGGATCATTTGCGCATGTGACTTATTACTTAAAAGTATTCCATTGAATGTCTCATTTGAGTGAACGACTTCCACATCCGGGAGAAGCAGCCGCCCCTCATCTACTTCCATCAACCTGGACTTCATTCAAATGTTCTCTTCCATATCAACCAAGTGTAAACTAGTCCTGGTTGCAGCGAAGACGTCTTGAATTCCCATTCTCTTTTTACTGACATAAACAGTCTAAAAGAGGTGAATGCTGAACTCAAAGAGGATGCAAATATTTGTTCAAAAGTGGCCCTTCTCGTCGAGCTGACTGGTCGTGCAAAAAACTCTCTCCTGATCCTCTCCGCTTCCAGGATATCCTCTTCTCGATACAAGATTTCCAGCAGGGCTGTGAGTGCCCCTTCTTCAGAGAGGCTTGTATTAACAGAATCTACACCCCAGCCTACTAATAATTTTGTTCCTTACAGTCCTATGAGGTTGATCATTTGAAAAAATTCATATGAAATCTTCCCTGTGATTGATAGCCTGACTTTTAACTTATTGAGTTTCAAGCAAGTAAACGTATCCTGTTTGTGTTTAAGTAGAGTTTCGAGACTAACAGTAATAGGGTGAATACATCTCATATTACTGACTTAATGTTAGTCTCGAAACTCTACTCAAACACGGAAAATAAGTAACGTAGTCGATTTTCATAGCAAATATAAGTTTGCTTCATCGAAAATCCCACCAAACAATATGATATGGCAAAATGCCTGGCCTTCCTTGAAATTCACATTTGCCTTGTGACCCAAGGACACTCGTGCCAATGTAGACGGGTGGTTAACGTGTCAAGCTCCCATTCTCTACTTTCACGGTTCGACTCCCGCTGGGGTGTTGATAAAATCAATGCGAGGTCGAAACTACAGTCCACTGGTGCCTGGATGAGAACAACTTTTGGGAAAGCAAGGCAATGTAAAATTCAATGAAAACGTCAGCTCTACTCATATCATTGTGGGAAAATTCTACTACCAGTCCTTCACCACATTAAACGAAATAGGGTGAATATATCTCATATTTCCTGTTTGTGTTTTTATCAATGTTTATTGTTGACTAACATCCTTTGCAGTTCTCCGACTCTGTGTATCTTAGGCGTTAAGCGTCCGTTTTTATTAGTGGACCATCTGTCGATTTATCCGTATCCATTTCTTTAGGCATATTCTGTAGTGTTCCTTTAATCTTCATAGTTTACTGAATGTTGTTCGACCTTGTCTTTGCAACTTGGTAGTATTGTTAGGGCGACCTAGAAGAACGCATTGTATCCGAAGTCCATAGTATCCATAGCAATTTCCAGAGTCGGATCGTAGACTTGGTACATTCCCAGGCATTTCTCTAGCATCGTAGTCGGTATCGTCGGTGAACCTTGCCATTTTTAGCATCAAAACTAGACACAAATAGTTGCAGTATCTTTCTTTCTGTCTCGGTACATTCACCCATCCTATATCCTCGCCTCACCATTTCACAATTTATTACTTGCATATTTACACCTAGCTCATATGTGCTCTTTTGAATAGGGTTAAGAATAGCAAGGCGCATTGACGATGCCGACTACGATACCGGCGAAACGTCTGGAAATATACCAAGTCCACCATCTGACTCTGGACATTATCATGGATACCATGGACTGCAGACAAGGTGTGTTCCTCTAGGTTTCCCTGAAAATACGACCAAGTTGATAAAGCTAGGTCAAACAACTTCAACGCAACGAAAGGAGACCGTAAGAATGCTAAAGACCACACCATCTAGGTCTTCATATCCTCGATTCATTGCTTCCTGTCCGCTATCACTGTCTCTCCCTCTAAATCCGTCTGAAAGAGTGATTGATCATTCCTTCATAGACCATCGTGTATCGTCGTTAATATACTCTTGTTTGTGGACTACAGATATGCTATCTCCATTTAGC